GTAAAGTTATTCTAATCATGGATTGGAAGAATCAATATTGTTAAAAGTTTCATACTACTCAAAGCGATCTGCAGATTCAATGCAATCCCTATCAAAACACCAATGACATTCTTCACAGAAATATTTTTAAAATCTAAAAATCATATGGAACCACAAATGGCCCTGAATAATCAATACTCTCATCAATAAAAACAGAAAAACTAGAGTAATTACATTACCTGAATTCATTTTATTCTTCAGAACTATAGTAACCAAAACAGTAAGGTATGGGCATAAAAATATACACATAGATCAATGGAACAGAATAGAGAACCCAGAAAATAATTCACACACCTACAGTAAACCCATTTTTGCCAAAGGTGCCAAGAAAACACACTGGGGAAAAGACAAAAGGAATAAAAAATTTGGGGGTAAACTTAACTAAGCAGGTGAAAATCTTATATACCAAAAAGTATAGAACATTGATGAAATAAATTGAACAAAAAACAAATTGAAAGACATCCCATGCTTGTAGTTTTAAAGATATAATATTATAAAAATGTCCATAGTACCCAAAGCAATCTGCAGATTCATTGCAATCCCTATCAAAATCCAAGCTATAGTTTTCGCAGAAATAGAAAAAAGTTCTAAAATTTATTTGGAACAACCAAAGACCACTAACAACCTAATCAGCTGTGAAAAAGAAGAATAGAGCTGGTGACATCACACTTCCTGATTTCAAAATACATTACAAAGTTATAGTAATCAAAACAGTATGATAATGGCATAAAGAAAACAGAATGGACAGCCCAGAAATAAATCTACGCATATATAGTCAATGACCTTTGACAAGGTTACCAACAATACATAATGGGGAAAGAAGAGCCTCTTTACCAAGAGTTATTGGGAAAACTGATTTCCAAGTGCAAAAGGATAAAATTGACCCATATATTTACCATACACAAAAATCAACTCAAGTCAATTAAAGACTTAAACATAAGACGTTAAACTCAAAAACACCCTGAAAAAAACAGGGAAAAAGATTTGTGACTTTAGTCTTAGCAATTATGTATTGGATATGACACTAAAAGCATAGGCAACATAACCAAACTAGAAAGTTTCTACATAGCAAATGAAACTGTCAACAGAATGAAAATTCAACCTATGGAATGAAAGAAAATATTTGCAAACCATATATCTTCATAAGGGGCTAACTTACAAAATACCTAAGCAATTTCTACAGCTCAATAGAAAAAATAAAACTAATAACCAATTAAAAACTGGGCTAAAAACTCAAAGTGAAATTTCCCAAAAGAAGACATCCAAATGGCCAACAGATAGATGAAAAAAATCTTTTAATACAATGAATCATCAGGAAAATGCAAATTAAAAGCACAATGACATATCATGTCACAGCTGCCAGACTGGCTGTTATCAAACAAAACAAAACAAAACAAAAGTATTAGGGAAGATGTGGAGAAGTTGGAACCCTCACATAGTATTGGTGAGAATGCAAAATTGTGAAGCCAATATGGAAAACAATATGGAGGTTTCTCAAAAAATTAAAAATTAAACTACCATATGATCCAACAATCTCACTTCTGGATATTTATTCAAAAGAATAAAAATCAGGATACTAAGATATATTGGCACTCCTAGGTTCTTTGAAAAACTATTCACAATAGCCCAAACTTGAAAATAACCTAAATGTCTATTAATAGATGAATTAATGAAGAAAATTTTGGGTTGGGCATGGTGGCTCATACCTGTAATCCCAGCACTTTCGAAGGCTTACGTGGGAGGATTGCTTGATCCCAGGAGGTTGAGAGCAGCCTGGGCAACATAGTGAGGCCTGTCTAAACAAACAAACAAAAAAATTTAAATTAGTTGGGAGTGGTGGCATGCATCTGTGGTCTCAGCTACTCAGGAGGCTGAGGCAGAAGGATTGCTTGAGTCCAGAGATCAAGGGTGCAGTGAGCCATATTATTTAGCCTTAAACATGAAAAAAATTTTGGAATATGCAGTACTAATGAACCTTGAGAATATTATGCTATGTGAAACACGATAGTCACAAAAAGACAAGTATTGTACAAATCCACTTATATGCGTCATCTAAAATAGTGAATTTCATAGAATTATAGAATCAAAGTGTACAATGATAATTACCAGGGGCCATGGGAAGGGATAAATGGAGAGTTAATAATCAATGGACATAGTTTCAGTCAAACAAGGTGAACAAGCTCTAGTGATCTGCTGAACAACATTGTACTTAAACAATGATGTATTGTAGGGTAAATCTAATTTTAAAAAATCTTTCAGATCTATACCTGCAGATATGTTCATACCACAATAAAATAAAATAAAATAAAATACCACAGTAGTTTCATAATTTAATGAAGGAAAATATACTGAATTACAGGGAACTCTTTTGTTTTTTTTTGAGACAGAGTTTTGCTCTTCTTGCCCGGGCTGGAGTGCAATGGTCAACTCACTGCAATCTCCACTTCCCAGGTTCAAGCAATTCTCCTGCTTCAGCCTCCCAAGTAGCTGGGATTAGAGGCATGTGCCAACACACTGGGCTAATTTTGTATTTTTTAGTAGAGATGGGGTTTTACCATGTTGGTCAAGCTGGTCTCACACCTCTGACCTCAGATGATCCACCGGCCTTGGCCTCCAAAAATGCAGGGATTACAGGCGTGAGCCACCATGCCTAGCTCAAATTACAGGGAACTGAATGTATTCTGATGAACTATTATTTTCTCTGTGTTTAAAAATCAGGATTGGACACTTCTTTTTTTAACTCTTATTTGTCTGGTCTTATAAATTCTAAAATAAAATTTTAGAAGCGAATTTTAATTTGTCACCTATGATGCTACCAAATTACTTTTGTGTGCTTCACTCCAAATTTTTGTAAACAGAAAACTCCCCTATCATAAATGAAAAATAACATTTAAAACAAAAGTTTGCTCAATACACATCGGCCTCTTAATTGCCATGAAATAATATTCATCTGCATTTCCAACCACTAAACTTATTGATTTGCTAAAATGTAGGCCATTTTTAAACTAAATCTTATATAAATTTTTTTTAAAAAATTGTCATTCCAGCTGCAAAAAAAATAGATGTTTTTCTTTTCTCTCTCTCTCTTTTTTTTTTTTTTGAGAGGGAGTCTTGGTCTGTCACCTAGGTTGAAGTGCAGTGGCTGCCTCCTGGGTTCAAGCGATTCGCTTGCCTCAGCTTCCCAAACAGCTGGGATTATAGGCACCCACCACCATGCCCAACTAATTTTTGTATTTTAGTAGAGATGGGTTTTCACTATGTAGGTCAAGCTGGTCTCGAACTCTTGACCTCAAATGATCCATCCACCTCGGCCTCCAAAAGTGCTGGGATTATAGGCATGAGCCACTGCACCTGGCCAAAAATAGATTATTTTTTAAAGTATTTGAAGAAGGAGGTGATGTGGCACCTTAGGCAACACAGATTGATAAAGTATTATATTTAAGTCATTTATCTGTCTTCTGCATTTTTTTTATGGACAATTGACACTTATATGAGAAAATTGGAAATTGGAAAATTCTCGCAAGTTTTTTTTTAACTTTTAAGTTCAGGGATACGTATTCAGGTTTGTTACATAGACAAACTTGTGTCATGAGGGTTTGTGGTACAGATTATTTAATCATCCAGTTATTAAGCCTAGTACCCATTAGTTATTTTTCTTGATCCTCTCACCCACCTCCCACTCTCCACCATTCAATAGATCCCAGTGTTTGTTGTTCCCTTCTATGTGTACGTGTGTCCTCATCATTTAGCTCTCAGATATGTGAGTTCATGCAGCATTTGGTTTTCTGTTCCTCTGTTAGTTTGCTAAGAATTATAGCCTCCAGCTCCATCCATGTCCCTAAAAACGGAATTATCTTGTTTTAATCTATGGCTGCACAGTATTCCATGGTGTGTATGTACCACATTGCCTTTATCCAGTTTATCACTGATGTGTATTTAGGTACATTCCATGTCTTTGATATGATGAATAGCACTGCAATGAACAATGCACTCATGTGTCTTTATAATAGAAGAATTTGTATTCCTTTGGGTATATACTCAGTAATGAGATTGCTGGGTCGAATGGTATTTCTGTCTTTTAGTCTTTGAGGAATCACCACATTGACTTCCACAAAGACAGTCCCACCAACAGTGTATAAGCATTTCTTTTTCTTCACATTCTTGCCAGCATCTTCCTTATAGATGCTGGATATTAGACCTTTTTCACGTGCATAGTTTCCAAAAATTTTCTCCCATGTTGTAGGTTATCTGTTGTCTGAAAGTAGTCTCTTTCTCTGTGCAGAAGCTTTTTAGTTTAATTAGATCCCATTTGTCAATTTTTGTCTTTGTTGCAATTGCTTTTGGCAACTTCATCGTGAAATCTTTGCCCGTGCCTATGTTCTGAATGGTATTGCCTAGATTTTGTTCTAGTGTTTTTTATAGTTTTAGGTTTCACATTTAAGTCTTTAATTCATCTTGCATTGATTTTGCATGTGGTATAAGGAAGGAGTTCAGTTTCAATTTTCTGCATATTACTAGTCAGTTTTTCCAGGACCATTTATTAAATAGGGAAACCTTTCATCATTGCTTGCTTTTTGTCAGGTTTTCCAAAGGCCCAATAGTTGTAGGGGCACAGTCTTATTTCCAGGTTCTGTATCCTGTTTCACTGTTCTAGATGTCTGTTTTTTACCAGTATCATACTGTTTTGGCTACTGTAGCTTTGTAGCATAATTTGAAGTAAGGTAGTGTGATCCCTCTTGCTTTGTTCTTTTTGCATAGGATTGCCTTGGCTATCTGGGCTGTGTTTTGGTTCCGTATGAATTTCAAAATGGTTTCTACTTCTGTGAAGAATCCCACTGGTAGTTGAATATGCATAGTAATGAATCTATAAATTGCTTTTGACAGTATGGCCATTTTATTGATATTAATTCTATCCATGAGCATGGAATATGTTTCTATTTGTGTCATCTCTTATTTCTTTGAGCAGTGATTTGTAGTTACCATTGTAGAGATCATTCACCTCCCTAATTAGCTGTATTGCTAGGTATTTTATTTTTCTGTGGCAATTGTGAATGGGAATTTATTCCTGATTTGGCTCAGCTTGACTGTTGATGATGTATAGGAATGCTAGTAATTTTTGCACCTTAATTTTGTATCCTGATAATTTAGTGAAGTTGTTTGCAGATTAAGAAGCTTTTGGGCCCTTACTATGGGATTTTCTAGCTACAAGATTATGTCATCTGCAAACAGGGATAGTTTTACTTCCACTATTCCTATTTGGATGCCCTTTCTTTCTTTCTCCTGCCTGATTGCTCTAGCCAGCACTTCCAAAACTATGTTGAATAGGAGTAGTGAGAGAGAGAATCTATATTCTGTACTGGTTTTCATGGAAGATGCTTCCAGCTTTAGCCTATTTAGTATGATGCCAGCTGTGGATTTGTCATATATGGCTTTTATTATTTTGGGGCATATTCCTTCAATATCCAGTTTCTTGAGCATTTTAAACATGAATGGATGTTGAAATTTATTGAAATTTACTTTATCTATTTCCTTAGTTCTGTTTATGTGAGGAATCGCATTTATTGATTTGTGTATGTTGAAACAGCCTTGAATCCCAGAGACAAAGCCCACTTGGTCATTGTGGATAACCTTTTTGTTGTGCTGCTGCATTTTGCCAGGAGGCCCGGAAAGCCAGAATATGTAAATTTCTTGGGTCACCATGCATGTTTGAGTGGCTGCTTTGCCAAGACTCCACGTAACTCTCTATGTCAGACTGAAGGCCCTGGTGGAGTGGGTTCATAGGGGATATTCTGACGTGAGGGTTTTAAAGATTCATGGAAGAGGTGTGGGATCTCACTGTAGCACATTCACGCATTGTTTCTCTGGGTGCAGAAGCTCCTTTTGGCTCTGTGTTGCTTCCAGGCTTGCCATTGTCCTGCCTTGCTGTTTTCCATTTTCCATGAGCCAAGTTGTTTCCTTTATTAGGCTCAATGTGAGTAACAATGTTTTAGCTGACGGCACTTTATTTACTCGCCCCTTCTATTTCTCTCCTTGAGAGCAATGCACCTTAGCTACTTTTGGTCAGCAGGGCCACTCCCCTGCCAAGTATTTTATTGTTGATAAATTTAGGATTTTTTTCAAAATAATCAGAGTAAAACTATTAATGCTCTTTCTTCTTTGCAAGAACACTTTAAATTATCCAATAATGTGGTCCCATCATAACATCTATCCCAGGCTTGTCTTAAGCAAGATAATATTGAGATAAGTTCATTTAAGAAGCAATATACTAATAATATAATTTTGAAATACTTCAGTATTCTTTTCTTTTTTTTTTTTAAAGAAAGAAAGAGAAAGAGGGAGAGAGAACAGGAGTCTTGCTCTATTGCCCAGACTGGAATGCAATATAAACACAGGTATTAAAAATCTCTTTTATGCTGATAATTGTGCTTAACAGCAGAGACAGGAAGGAATAAGGGAAGCAAATAACAAACAGCCAACCAATATTTCATTTAAGTCTGTGAGATGCTATGCAAATACTGAAGAGTGATTTACTTCCAATTATGTGGTCACTTTCAAAACAGGTGTAATATGATACTGAGAAAAATGTATGTTCTGTGGACCTGGGGTGAAGAATTCTATAAATATTCACTGAGTTTACTTGTTCCAGGTCTGAGTTCAAATCATAGATGTCCCTGTTAATTTTCTATCTCGTTGATCCGTCGAATATTAACAATGTGGTGTCAGTCTCCCGCTATTATTGTGCGGGAGTCCAAGTCTCTTTATAAGTCATTAAGAACTTGTCTTATGTATCTGGGTGTTCCTGTATTGGGTGCAAATATATTTATGATCATTGACTCCTGTTGTTGCATTGATCCTTTTACCATTATGTAATGTTCTTCTTTGTTTTTTTTAGTCTTTGTTACTATTAAAGTCTATTTTGTCAGAGATGAAAGTTACAACTCCTGTTTTCTTTCTTTCTTTTTTTTTTTTTTTTTTTTTTTGCTCTCCATTTGATTGGTAAGTCTTCCATCAACCCTTTGTTTTGAGTCTTTGTGTGTCTTACTTATGAGATGGATCTGGATACAGAGAACCGATAGGTTTTGACTTTTTATTCAATTTACCTGTCTGTGTCTTTGATTGGAGCATTTAATCCATTTACATTTAGGATTAATATTGATATTTGTGAGTTTAATATTGTCGTTTAATGCTAGCTGGCTATTTTGCCCATTAGTTGATATAGATTCTTCATTATGGAGATACTCTTTACCTTTTGGTAAGTTTTTGGGATGACTGATACTGGTTGTTCCTTTCTGTGTATAGTGCTTCTTTCAGAAGCTCTTGTAAAGTAGGCCTGGTGGTGATGAAATCTCTGAGTGCTTGCTTGTTCACGAAAAATTTTATTTTTCCTTCATTTATGAGGCTTAATTTGGCTGGATATGAGATTCTGGGTTGAAAATTCTTTTCTTTGAGGATACTGAATACTGACCCCCACTCTCTTCTAATTTGTAGAGTTTCAGCTGCGAGATCTGCTGTGAGTCTGATAGGCTTCCCTTTATGGGTAACCTGACCTTTCTCTCTAGCTGCCCTTAGAATTTTCTCCTTTATTTCAACCCTGGTGAATCTAATGATTATGTGTCTTGGGGTTGCTCTACTTGAGGAATGTCGTTGTGGTGTTCTCTGTATTACCTGAAGTTGAGTATTTTCCTGCCTTACTAGGTTAGGAAAGTTTTCCTGAATAATATCCTGAAGAATATTTTCCAGCTTGGATTCATTCTCTTCATGACATTCAGGTACACCTATCAAACGTAGATAGGTCTTTTCACATAGTCCCATATTTCTTGGAGACTTTGCTCATTCCTTTTTACTCTTTCTTCTCTAATCTTGTCTTCTCGTTTCATTTCATTAAGTTGGTCTTCGACCTCTGATATCTTTCTTATGCTTGATCAATTCAACTGTTAAAACCTATGCAGACTTTGCGGAGTTCTCTTATTATATTCTTCAGTTCCATTAATTCACTTATATTCCTCTCTAGATTGTCTATTCTCATTAGGATTTCGTCAAACCTTTTTTCAAGGTTCTTAGTTTCTTTGCATTGGGCTAGAACATGTTCCTTTAACTCACAGAAGTTTCTTATTATCCACCTTCCGAAGCCTAAATCTGTTAATGGAATGCACTCGTTTTCCATCAGGCCTTGTTCCCTTGTTGATGAGGAACTGTGATCCCCTGCAGAGGGAGAGGCATTCTGATTTTGGATATTCTCAGCCTTTTTATGCTGGTTTCTTCCCATCATTGTAAATTTATCCACCTGTCGTCTTTGTAATTACAGACTTTCAAATTAGGTCTCCTGAGTGGACGTCCAGCTTGTTGATTCCCAGAGCCAGAATTTGAGCAACCCACTACACCGGCGTTAAGATTTGTGGGGCTTTTCTGCCCGGGAATCTCCAGTCTTGCTTCCTTCTTGAGTCCCTTTTTCAATCAGCTGAATAGGGGACTCTGCCTTCCTGGAGCTCCAAAGGTCGACTAAAAGGGGACCCATTCCCATTTACTCTGCACCAAGAACCGCTGTGCCGGCCACAAGAGTCATACTGGCGACCCGTGGGGCTCCTCCGCTGGGAATCTCCTGGTCCATGAGCAACAAAAATTCGTCTGAAAATGTGGCGTCCTCTCATTCTCTGCGCTTTCACTGGGAGCTACAATCCTGAGCTGCTAGTAATCAGCCATCTTGGATCTCTCTCCTGAAATACTTCAGTATTCTTATTCAGAATACTAATGATAAACACAGCATAATTATACCTGTTAAGGATGAAAATTGATTGCAAAAGCAAGGTGAATAGAGGGACTACAAGATTCATTTTTATTGGCAAAATATGTTGGTGTTTGCTACATTTTCTCATTTTTATTGTGGCATCACGTGATTAAAAACTAATTTTATAAAAAAAAATGAAGAAGCAGGAGCTCAATGAACTGACTTATAGTGCTTTCCAGAACATATTGTTATATGTAAATTTTTAAAAAGCAAGATAAAAAGAATATATGATGAAGTATAATATGCAAAAGAGTATTTAAAATTTATAATATGGAATCAACCTAGATGCCCATCAATGATATTTTGAATAAAGAAAATGTGGTACATAAATACCATAGAATACTATGCAGCCATAAAAAAGAACCACATCATGTCCTTTGCAGGGACATGGATGGAGCTTGGGGACATTATCCTTCGCAAATTAACACAGGCACAAAAAACCAAATACTGTATCTTCTTACTTCTCCATGAGAACTAAATGATGAGAACACATAATCACATAGAGGAGAACAACATACACAGGGGCCTTTTGGAAGGTGGAGTGTTGGAGAAGGGAGAGGATCAGGAAAAGTAACTAGTGGGTACTAGATTTAATACCTAGGTGATGAAATAATCTGTATAACAAACGCCCATGACACAACCCTACCTGTGTAACAGACCTGCACTTGTACCCCTGAGCTTAAAATAAGTTTTAACAAATATACCATAATTTTACAGTTAATAGACCTGGTAAGCATCTTGCCGAAGTGATCAAGTGATCTACTGGGATTTAGCCATATCAGTGTTATATGTCCCTGACATGATGCACAGAGAAGCTGGTAGCATCACTTCTGTGGTATTTGTACCAAAAAATGCATAACCAGCAATTGTTCATAATCAAATATTGGACAAAGCCAAACTGAGAGAAATTCTGCAAAATCACTGACCTGTTGTCCTCAAAGAATGTCAAGCCCATAAAAGAAAAGGAAAGACTGAAGAACTATAAAAGGCTAAGGAGACAGATCAACTAAATGCCATGTGGGTGCCTGGATTGGATCCTGAAAAAACTTAAACATAAAAAAACTGGTGAAATTTGAGTAAGGTCTATAATTTAGGGGATTGTTTTGTATCAATATTAATTTCCAAGATTACATTATTATATAGTTGTACAAGATATTAACATAAGAGGAAGCAGAGTGAAATCTATACAGAAACCCTCTGTGCTATTTTTTGCAATATTTCTGTAAGTCTAAAATTAGTTCAAGTTGTAAACGGAAACAATAAATGAATACAAAATTATGACTAAATATATAAGCTGTATAGATTGAAAATTTTAGCTGAGGCCAATTCAAGAAACCTGTATTAATATGCACCTCAGTGTTCTCCTCTGACAGATGAGCATGAAAAATAAAGAAACCTATATTAAACATCTATTTTGTGCAAAGCAAAATATAGGCACTGAAAAACAGTGTGGGGAAGGAGCAAGGATCAGTAAAGTATAGGCCCTGCCCTTAATGAGTTTCAAGTTTATTGTCATAAGAAACAATTACATACTGTACAAATTTAACTGTAATTTGATAAACAATCATATAACCTGCCCCACATCTAATGGGGGCACAAAAGCAGAGTCCTTATGTTAATCTGAATGTCTGGAGCTGTCTGATTGGAATAAATAGTTTCTGGCCTAAGTTTTTTTTTTTTTTTTTTTGGATAAATAAGCATTATTTAGGAAAAAGCATATATTTTGTACTTTTTTGTATTTACTCATTCATTAGTCATATTAGCTTACAAATTTTCTGCTAACTTTCTGATTTTGATCAAAATATCAAAGAAAAATTGTATTTTCCAGTTCTTTTGGCTTTGTCTATGTAGCACCACCAATGCACACTCTGATAAAGTATTTTGCCTGTTTTCATAATTGATTTCAACAGTCAAGCCGAATCGATCAACTGGCAATCCACAAAATCATCAACATTGTGCCAACAAATATTTGAGTGTTCAGTTTGATAATATTTTGCGGCCAGTAAGGGTCAGCCTGCAAAGTTATTTCTCTTCCAATCAGTATTCCACCCTTGAAAGTTTGCCACATCAATTGCTACTTTTATATTAAATTGCAGCAAATAACTCCTAATATATTTAACTTCAATATTAATCTTTGCTTGTTAGATCAGCATTTTCATATACACTTTATACACATAAGATTTTTCATGAAGTGAGCCCAATAAAGTCACCCAGATAATTATAAGCCTTGTCATACATGTCAGTTCTACAATTATCCTTAATTAACTGAAACCTTGATCCACATACCAGAGGTAATCAGCAGTAATCATTCTGAATAGCTCTCCTTTTACTCCCCTAAAAAATGGGTTATTGGAGTATTGTCTTATTTTAAGAAAGTAGCTAAAAACACAAATCTTAAAATCCTTTTTAATAATTTATTTTACAGAATGTCTTAGCAAGTGCTCTTATTATTTTTTTTCCAGCAGTTAACACTCCGGGATGTTTAAGTGGCTATGATGTACAAAGTGTATAAGAGGCCAGGATTTTGAAAAGATGTTATGAAAGCACCTTAGCTTTGGGACAAGTAAAGCAAACATCAACAAAAACAATAATTTAAAAGTTTAAATGTTTAAGCAAAACCGTCATAAACTACACATAAATGCTAAGGGGCTAAGGGGTTTAATTGAGAAGTTGTAGATAAATATGGTTGCTTGAAGAATGGAAGACTGATTGACATTATCAAAATCAAGCAGAAGTAGTTAGATTAACCATCTGCAATGCTAGTAGTACAATGTTATCGTGAGAGCAGAGGCTACACTCTCATGTAAAGAGACAAAGATGGCTATGCAATAAATTTTGGAGGGCCTTAAAGACAAAAATAAGAGAGTTTCAATTGCTGTTAAAAGATAATGTGAAGTGGCATCATCTTCAGAGGAGGGGAAATGTTTAAAATGGCACATAGAAACATATATTACCTTTTTCAGGTCAGTTTTGGAAGAGAGATGGTCATGAAGAAGATTGTTCTAATTATTCAAGGTTAGTGGGAATGTGGAGTTGGGGGAGAGATCAAGCATCAGCAAAAGGGAGTAGATGGTAAATGCTGTTACGATCCTGGCCAGTACCTGGAGGTATGTGCATGACTACTGGTGGTATTTTGTAAATAGTGTGATGACTGTATCAACTAGTATTGTAGTCAGACAAAAGTAATATAAATTCCCTAAACAGTGGCTTAACAAATAATTTATTTCCTTTTTGTTTATATCATGAAATAAGAAAACCTGACATAGGCA